CTACTGGGAATATTTGTACATGACTGTAGGTCGATTTTGTTCTTGGCTCTTGGTAAATGGTAAACGCTGCAGGATGAGGGTTTCAATAGTTACATATATAACTGTAATGTTTATGTTTAACCCTTTTCGGAAAGAACTGTTTAAATTGTTTATAAAATTTTAGTAAAATTTATTCTTATTCCGTGAGAAAAAGAAAATTGATTGCATAAAAAAAGACTTAAATTATTTATAAGGATTAGAATTTTTTTATCAGTTTTATATTTTTATAGTATAAGGGCGGAATAAAAGTTCATAACTTATTTTAAGTTAATTTCAAAGACAATATTTAGCTCATTAAGATATACTCAGTCACGCATGGGCCATTTTGTTCCACTACCTTTCGCCATCTTTGTGGTAGCTTCATGGTTCCATACTTCCAGAATTTGGCATCTTACTGGAATATAAATTTGCTTAAGTGGTTTTTACAGGCTTCCAGAGAGTTGAAGTTTGTTTTTTGTTTTTTTTCATTAATAGAAGTTTGTAGGGGTTGAAATAAAAGATAATTCAAATGTGAAAGGCCAGGTGAGTGTGACGGATACCGTAAGACATCCTACCAAATCCGTACCAATTTCTGCTGGTTTGGCAAAAAGATGTGAGGTCTAACGATGTCCCAGTGGAAGACGACTTCTTTTCGATCGCCTAATTTCGGATGCCTTTTGTCAATTGTTACCTTTCACCAAACCAACTAGGAATTGAATTCAATGTCTGATTTTATCGGAAGCAGCTCGTAATACGCACGTCTCTTCCAATTCAATGAGATACACAGCAGCAACTTCTGCAGATGTAAACCGACTTTTGAGTGGTTGATGGTGGCTCGTATTCATTTTTGCCAGGAAACAATTATTATATCGTTGGCTGTGATTGATCTTTTCAAAAATGGTTCGATTTTGTTGCGTTTAAGCAGAGAATCGAATATAGAAATGTGCTTCTTTAAATTTTCTTCCGTTAAATCCTGAGTTTATCGAAACACAAAGTATCCAAATGTTTTCAAATGCCTTAAAATGCTTATATGAGATAATTGAAGTATCTCTGTAATGTCCTGTATCATGTTAACTGGATTCATTTTAATCAGCGTTTCGTTTTGGTCATGATTAATGCCTGTAGGCCTACTGCAACGTACTCGGTATTACTTATCAAAATTTCCACTTGTGGCTAATCAGTTACGAACAATATTTTCAACAACGGCACCATCTCCATAAACGGCACATATTCTTTGCTGTTTGTACAGCAGTTCATTTCCTTTCCGCAAATAAAAGAACATCAAATGACACAAATGCTAATCCCCTTTATTTTCACTTTTAATGTAAAAAAAACATTTAATATTCACAATCTACAAGCGCATCGTATGAATTGACGTGTTGAAATGTCGACTTTAAGAATATGTATAAATGTCACAAAGTTTAGCCACGTGTGAAACACGATCAGGTGTTCAAAGGCCACTTATTGAAAAACACGGCGAACTTTTGTTCCAGTCGTATACATAAAATGCTTATATTTCATATGAACGTTTCATCCCTTACAAGTAAAAAAAGAACCGTTGAATTTTTCAGAACTTCAAAAAACATGTAATTTCCCTTTGAATTCACCAACGCCATTATTATTATTATTATTATTATTATTATTATTATTATAAACTGGCTTTATTATGGCTAGTGTCACATGATACGGGATGTGGTTTGGTATTAGTTTGTATCTTTTAAATTCGGTCAGAGTCCTGGCTTTTGATGTGATCAATCCAATAAACTATTTTTCTCTTCCTGACTCTGATCAAATATTCATGTATGTCATATCCGCCCAGCTCAGCTAGTTGTTCTGTATAAAGGGATCATAACGATCCGTGGGAGGAGGTAGAAGGCTGGTTTTGCACAGCACAATGAAGTCATGCTGAGTTTAGTGAATTACTGATACAAAAGAAAGTCATAAGTGAACTGAAAAGGCAAGAAGATAAAAGGTAGTAAAATGAGAAATAGGCTTGAAGGAGAGTAAAGCATAGTTAAGGAGAGAAAAGGTGGTGGGGGGGGTCATGCATAAGGTGATGTGAGATTGATTAACAGTATTGGTAACCAGTTGATATTCGCTGGCGAAAAATGAATAATTAACAAACGCATTGCCTTAACCGAGAATATATGAAGATTGATTGATTAGTTTTTGACGGTTTATCAACCCTTTCCAAGTTATTTAAAACCAGATAATATTTTTAGATTGTAAAAATGTCTTTTTTTGGATTAATAATGATTTATAGAGACAAGTCTTACTAATTAATTTTTAGCTGGGGGATAAGAACTGGATTCACACATTTCCCAAGGGGCTTTGCGAGTAAGTGAATATAACGAAATGGAATTAGAACTCGGCAGTCTTATTAACAATTTCGAACCATTATCCGTTACGCCATTTGCGCATCCGAGCTTACCGCACCTGCTATTCTCAAGCGATTACCCATCTAGTTATTGACCAGGCTCGACCTTGCTTAACCTCGGTTTTCGTATGGGAATTGGTGTTTCAACGTAAGCCTAAAAATGAAAGGGCATCAAAAGTATTTTTGTTTTTTACAGACCTTTTCCCTAAATCCTATTTCATCTACACATCTGAAGGCTATCTATAACTCCACTATATTATTATTATTATTATTAATATTATATATTAATGTGCATCAAATATATTTCCGTTTTTTTTAATAGACCTGTACACCAAAATTTATTTCATGTGTTGAAGGCTATCGCTGTGTTATTATATTTCTTTTTGTTCCTTAGTTCCTGAGTTAGTTAACACGTATTTTACGCCCTGCCAATATCTCATAAATAATGAACTATTCCGTTTTGATCTCGATGAAAGACGTAAAAGACTTCTTAGGGACAATTTTTGGTTTCAGTGAGAAAAAGAAAGAAAAAAAGAAAGAAAAAAAGAAAGAGAAAAAAGTAATATATAAAAAGTGAGGGCAATGTCATGTGTTTAACATTTGCTTCAGTGGAATGGAAAAACTTTTCAATTTCCATTTTTTTCATTTGTACCCTCTTACGTTTTCATATTTGTCATTGTTAATTGAAGTATTTACTAATGTTGTTTAGCTCAAATATTTAACGAGGTAACAGTGGGGACTTACATGTCTATTTTATAGTCATGGAACTCACAAAGAGCTTGTTCACTCATTAACTTCATCAGAAAAATTCATACGAATATGAAAATAAGAACACCGTAAAATTTCCTTGGCTATTTCTAATTATGATCGCGTAAAAGAGCATCCCAAGGGAAGTTGGACTAGACATGTATGAGGCCCAACAGAACTATCAGTCACATAAAGGTATACCAGTTACATGCATCACAGATAAATGTGTGTGATGTGGAGACAAGCTTTGATAAATGCAACGCATAACCCTTCTATGGGGAGCCCAGTCAGAAATATCCTTACGTTAAGTAACTCCGTCCCTGCTCAGACGGTCTCTCCATTGAAGGTTTCCCAAGTATTTAGATGTGACTCCAATGTCGACTTAGCTGCCTCATTCTTCAAACGTAAAAAAGTTCCCCATAATGATGTCCCATTACTCCCGCTCATGAACAGACATACATTGCGTCAGGCCCTAGGCGGTCACAGACAAATGATTAAGAGCACTGAACTGGCAAGCAAATCTGTGGTACTGAAAATAATATTTATTGAAACTTATCTTAAGATTAGAAAGTACGAGAGCCATGCCTGTTGGATCAGGGCATTTATTATTATTATTATTATTATTATTATTATTATTATTATTATTATTATTATCCTTTGATTTCTGTTGTATACACATTTCCTTTCGGGTCCCAAACAGAGACCTAAGGTCTGAAATGGCTTCACGAGATTTTCTGATCATTTCTATATAAAAAAAAAACAACAAATATCACGCACATTTTACATAGATAAAGCTCTTCGTAATGTGTGAGTTGTACTTATTAGTAGAATTTGTTGTATTTCTTTAAGGCTTGAGCTACCAGGAATAACTTCAATGAGTCTATCGGAACCTTTTCCGATCAATCCGAGGGATCCAACTACAACTGAAATTATTGACGTCCTCATGTACTACATTTTTTAAATTTCCACTTGAAGAGCTTGGTATTTTGAAAGTTTTTTTGAGGATCTTCAAAGATACATAACAATTTGCAGGAACTACCATATCAATAAGAAAGGGCATTCTGTTTTTGTGGTCTTTGATCTTTGATGTCAGGGCGATTAGCTTGGATTGTTCTGTCTGTATGTATTGTAAAGTTACATAAAACTGTTAAAGGTCCTATGTCTGGAACTGGGTCTGGATGATTTTCTTTCTTTCTTTCTTTCTTTCTTTCTTTCTTTCTTTCTTTCTTTCTTCTTCTTCTTCTTCTTCTTCTTCTTATTATTATTATTATTATTATTATTATTATTTATTTATTTATTTTATTTCAGATGTTATAATGTCGGCTTCAAGTATAATGATTCTGGCAAGTTTGAAGGGAACATTACCTTAAATTGGACCTAAAAGACATAAAACTGAGGAAAGGACTGAAGCTCTTCGTGGTAGGCACTAAGGATTAATGTTGACTGAGCTGTGGGCTGACGGCTGCAATTGGTCGAGGTAGGTGCTGGGGAATGAATTTTGCAGAATTAAGTCCTGAAGAAAGAAATTATGCAGAAATATTTACGGGCAGCATACTGCAACCAATTAAAGGAAATTATTTAAAACTAGCGAACTGAAATTATCTTTCAATGCTGTTGCGTTGTATTATAGATTGAAAAAAATGCTTCCAGTCGTTTTTAGAGCACTGTAACAGCGTAGCGCAGAAGAGAACGGATCCTTCACGTAGTTAACGATGCTTTTGAGTGCATTGAACAAATAAAATAAATAAAAACTGTAGAAATGATACAAGAAAAGAACAGCGAAGTTGGCTTCATGTGTATTGACGAACAAATATTATTTTAGGGCTGCGGCTTTATTCTTTCCATATGTCATAAAAAATCATAAAAGGCTATGGGTGGAATCAGGTGGAAATGAAAAGAGGCAATGAGAAAAATGGTAGGGGGAGGAGGGAGAGAAAAAAGAAGGTGGAGGATGAGGAAGAGAAAAAGAGGAAGAATGCGATGAAGCAGTAGGATTAGAAGGAGGTGGGGAGGAGGAGGAGAAGAAACAGGGGTAAGAAGAATATGAAGGTGTGGTGGAGGAGTAGGAGAAGTAGAAGTATGAAGAACTAGGAGTAGGAAAAGAAGGAGAAGGTGGAGGAGGAGAGGTAGTAATAGTATGAAGTAGAAGGAAAAAGAGGAGAAAAAGGTGGTGCTGGTGGTGGTGACAGGAGGAAGAGAAGTAGTAGTAAGATGATGGATGGGGCAAAGAAGAAGTCAAAAGAGTAGGAGCAATGAGGAGGAGGAGGAGGAGGAAAAGGAGAAAAATAAGAAAAACAAGATGATGAAGCAGCTGTTGAAATGCATTTGGTTCAAGATTCATCTTTAATTGACGTAGTTAACTACGAAAAGATAGAGAGAGAGAAAAGAAAGAGAGGGGGTAAAGGAAAGAAAATAAATAAAACTCTCAGTACATTTGTCGTAAAATAGTTGATATATTTTCATACATAATAAATGCAACAATGATTATAGGACAAATGGTGTATCTCTATCTATAAAAGGCAGGATGTGCTTGTGTGTGTAACGAATGCACGGCCGCAATTTTCGACGGATTTGCACCAACATTTACACGCACATGCTCCAAGTTAGCGGGAAGGCCAAGACCGACTTTGCATTTCCCAACTCCCATCGATAGTGGAAATAATCGATTTTTTCATGCTTCTACGGCAGTTTTCATGTAGTTTGCGGCCCTTTTCTACTGGCCAGAGTGAGAGCCTATAGCTGGCTGCCACGAATAGGCAGGAAGATTCTATTGGACAGCGTGAGAGCCAACAGCTGACTGACACGAATGTTAACTACCATGCTAGCATGCAAAAAAATCGTTAACTGCATTCGTCACAAGTGGGAAAAATTTAAATCTGCATGACACTTTACTCCAATTGGCTCATTCGCTTGCTTAAACTCAACGTTGATTCTGATTCTGTAGAACTGGGTTGGGTGTAAAAAATTATTTGTTGTTAACATTCTTTTTTCATTCGGTTTTTCCAGTTACGAGTCCTTTTTTAAAGCTGATCGTTTTGTGTTCATTTTGTTTAGTTCTTTTTTGGTAACAGATTTAATGTTTAGTATAGAGCTTAGAAAAAATTCGCAGTGTGAGATATGCAAGAAGTAAGGCATGTAGCAACATCAGCACGGCAAAGGGCACTCCTTTAAAGGCAAGGAAGGGCAAAAATATTTTAAGTCAGGTGATAGCGACTGCTGTATGAGTCGTACGATTTTTTAATCAAGCACGGGCAACGTGCTAGTATAAAGAATAAAACAATGGAAAGTGTGATTTTAACATAGAAAGAATAAAAGGGAAATTTGTGTGTAAGAAAAATAAATAGAAATATGGAAAAAAAAACGAGACAAAAAATGATGGAAGTTGAATAATGATCGGCAGAAATTGAAACAATTTGTTATTTGTCGCCTTTAAAGTCATATTCTATTGGTCAGTTTATGTTCGATCGATCCGAATTTAAAATGAATTTAAATACATAGGAAGTGTTCTAACAGAGGACTGAAAGTGCGACACTGAGATCCAAGGACATATTGGCATAGCCAAAGATGCATTCCAAAAACTAAGTAGAGTATTAAGAAACTGAAAAACCTCGTTAGAAACAAAGAAAGGATTACTGAAGTGTTACCTGATATCTGCCGTCCTGTATGGCAGCAAATGCTAGACAATATTCTCATTAATGAAGAGGAGACTTGAAATGTGATTCTACAGAAGCATGCTGAGGATACCATGTGCCGAAAACGTGAGCGACGACAACATTTTAGATAAAATGGAAACAAGAATGAAAATTATACGTAACATTAAGAAGAAACTTGAAATTTCTAGGACTCATAATGAGGATCGTGGAATAGGGTTTAGGAGAAATAACAAAAAGACAAAATTTATTAAGAGCTACAAAGGACAGGAAATTGTGGAGAACCATGATCGCCTACGTCCTGAAGGGACATGCCAGATAAAAAAGATAAGGAGAAATTATGAAAATTCAAGTAAACCCAAATGATAGTCAGGGTGATATATTGCCCTCAACAGAAAATCGAGGTTTTGGGTAGAGGGCGCTTTCTGAGCCTAGTTAATAAAAATTAGAAAGATATTCTTTTGCATCGTGAATTGCTTTCATCAAACAAAAATCTATCTTGATGGAAACGTAGTCTTCCAGTAGAAATTTTTTCTTTCTTCTTTTATGTGTGTTTCCCTTCAGGGTGTAGGCGATCATGGCCCTCCACATCTACCTCTACCCTGTAGCTCTTAATAAGTTTTGTCTTGTCTTTTTGCTCTTTCCTCCAAACCCTGTTCTGTTATCTACTTGCACAAGCCCATCAAGTATGTACGCGCTGCTTTCCTCTCTTTCCTTCTTTCCCTCTATCTAACCTGTGAGTATCAGAATTTCCAAGCCCTCCTTGCTCATTACATGCCCCAGAAATTCCAACTGCCTCTTTCTGATGTTAAGTATAAGTATCTTTTTTGCTTAAATTTTCTCAAAAACCTCGTTATTGCTCAAATGTTCGGTTCCTGGTATCCTAAACATCTTTCTGTAGAATCATATATATATATTGCTTTAAGTCTCTTCTTCATCTTTGAGGAGATTGTCCAGCATTCACTGTCATATAGTAAGACAGCTATCACGTAACAATTCAATACTACTTTCTTTGTTAGCAACGAAGTATTTCTGTCTCTATAATACTCTGCTTAGCTTTTTGAGATGAATCTTTGACTATCCCAATCCCCGTCTTTGGATCTCTTTCCCTCCGTTCTTAAAACACTTCCCAGATATTTAAATTGTTGTACATGTTTGCCTTTTGGTATCTGCGATTTATAATTTTCAAGTTAGGCTGTTCCTTTTGATAACAACCATGCATACCGTCTGCTTGAATTTGATGTTTAGTCTTTTCTTCTCGCTTTCCTTTATGACATTCTGTAGGAGTTATTGTAGTTTCCTTTCTGTATCTGCTATTAACGGTGGGGAGGAGGAGGGAGCATGTCCATCGGGCCAAGATGAAAATGCCAAAAATTCTCCATTATTTGGGAAAAGAAAAAAATTACAAGCGCGCCGAGAAATTACTCAATATCATGGGATACATTAGAATCTCAATATCAAGGGATATATTATATATATATATATATATATATATATATATATATATATATATATATATATATATATATATAAAATATTAGTGGAAAATATACGTACATATGCAAAATATATAAATACCCATACATGTATATTTTTAGAAAAAAAAAATCCAAGAGGAAGAATCCAGGTAGAACTCAATGTCTAGGACAGAGTAAGGATATAATAAAAAGGCTTAAACACTAATATTCCATGGTCATAATTTATTCCACTGGAATCGTAAATACGATCCAATTCATCAGACCTACAAATTCAAAAAGAAAACAGAAAAAAACCACTCCGGAAATAAAAACAGAATGTGTAAAAGGGTGAGAGAGAGAGAGAGAGAAGAGAATAAATATTTGCGTGATTCAAAAGAACTTTGATTTCACTTTGAACAAATCAAACGAACTATTCTTTGTCTAATAAACTCAGGGGATGTCGTTACTTTTCGCCTTTTCGTTTATTACATAGTCATATTTAATTAGTTGTGTCGTCATGTTCGTTAGTAGAATCATTACAATTTGTTAAGCATCTACAAATAATTGTTTCGTAGCTTATTAATGAGTATAAAGTATGTAGTATTTTTGCTTTCTGGTTTTGTCTAACCAAATGACCGGAAATTTAATTTCGTCTTAATCATGTTTTACAAACGAAATATCTGTGAATGTCCGTTACATAAAGCAAAATAAATAATTTTGCTCGATTCTATTCGATGCAAAAGAAATTGATTGATTTTTATGGCTCATCAATCCTTTGCGAGTTACTTAAAGCCGAAACATATTTTGGGATTGTAAGAATAATTCTTTTCTTTTTGGCGAATGCAGATGGAATTATAATTTTTGGGATATCACAATGCTTTTTCAAGATTGAAGTCTCCAACTTTTTCACCCAAACTGAGGTAGATTCATCCTTTTTTTAAGCGAATTTGCACCTAAATCATTGTAACGGATCTGACTGGAATTCGAACTGCTCCCTCACCAACGTCTAGTTCCGATCTTCATCAACCACCTATCCAATGAAAAAGGATACTCAGTTGTATATACATCAAATTTCACAGAGAAACAAGTGTTTTTTTTTTCTTACATGAATTTAATCTTAATTTCTAATGATGTTGTTTATATATAATTATATTTGTTCATATAAAATTGATACCTATTTGTTTAAAACCAAGCTACTTGCCAAGAAAGTTCACATCCCAAATCAAAAATCATCACTTGTTAAATATAGTACTGAGTTTGACGATAAACTACTTTCGGCAGCAAGTCATCTGATCAGGAGATTGTATGTTCTGAGGAGCGTTAAACCACCTCTTAATTGTTGTTGATCTCAGGTCCACCCTGATCCGGCATGATAGCAACTGTGAGGGTCCCAACTATAGGCAAATAATGAACACCCGAAACAAAAGCAAAATACTATGAAAGTATAAAAATACATTTTATAGTAAAAATACCAGCAATACATTTTTATATAAAAAACAATACAAATTTATAGTAAGATTATTAATATATTTTTAAAAAATGACCAACAATACATTTTATAGTAGATATAGTAGAATTACCAGCAATACATTTTACAGGAAAATGACCAAGAATACATTTCATCAGTAGTTGAACGCATAAAATTGCATTCAAAGTTTATTTAGATGAAGCCATAAAATTGTGTTCAAAATATTTAGATTTCCCTATTAAATAACGCATAAAAGTATTGATATTCCACTAAACAGGATCAACCAACCAATTTGTTAAATAAGGATAAAATACATTCTATCTAAAAGCATGCTAACATGTTTTATTTCCGAAAACTCGTCCAGCAAACAACTCGACCATATGACATGAAAGTAATTCTGAATACTTGCTTTGATAAATTTATTAAATCATAGTTGTCAGCAAAATCTTATTTCGAAACAAACACGACACTTATCACTTAATATAATAGTGATTTTCAACGAGTGAAATTTCACGAGTGAATTCTACGAGTGATTTTCTAAGTGTGAATTTATCCTGTTTTTCGGACTTTTCAAACCAGATTCTTTCCCTCATAAGTTAGTTTTTTTAACGCGATTTTGTCTTTATGAAAGGAAAGACATGTTTGTCTAAACCGAAATCTAGGTTCTCCTTCGTTTATGTAACAAATCATTTCAGTACATAGGCGATCATGGCTCCCCAAAACAATCTGCATTATGTTGCTCCAACTCAATTTCTGAACCATTAAT